CATTTCCTTGGATCTTTTTTCACGGATAATAGTAAGATGCTCTAATATTTTATCATAAATTATACCCTTCGCCTTCTCGCCAATTTTGCCATTACTATTTTTTATAAGATCATTATACTGAATTACGAATTCTTTTCCATAGTTAGTCCAGTATAAAGTTTCTTCCTGGTTAGCTTTCATAGTATAATATTCGGCATTAGTTGCTTTATCAAATAATTGTACCAAGTCGAGTAATGAGATCGTATCAGAATTTTGACAACGGCCCGTCGCTGAAATTTCAGTTACAGAATCTGAAATAATATTATCAGCGGAGTTGTGCACAAGTGCATCCTGAATGCCATTAGCTATCACCTGAACGATATTCTCTGTTCCCTTTTTCTTGTGCGATTGGGATGGTTTGACCTGGTTTTTATTTTGATTTTGATCCCAAAGCTTTTTCACAGTTTTCGAGTCCAGAGATTCAGGTATCGACAGGGTTGATACTTCGGATTGTATCGGTGGAGTTGAGTTATTATGTGATTCCTGAAGTTTTTTTTCCCGGTTCCTCTCTCTTATCTCACTACTAATCCTTTCCTTGTGTATCGTTTCTACAAAATCAAGGATCTCAGCTGAATCGTCATGGATAATATCTTGTGGTAAAGAAGTTGTAGATGTTTCAGGCTCCGTTGAAGATTCAGGTTGGGTTGAGCTATATTCTATTTCAGGCAAGGGATCGGGAGTAATACCTTTCTCCTCATAAGAATGGCTCTCGATAAGTGGCGAAATATCTTTTGTAGGAGATGCTTCCTGTTCATTAGTAATAATCTGGATCTGTTTCTGTTCCAATTTCGTGATTCTATCTTTAAGCTCAGTATTTTCTTCTGCGGTCTGCTCCAATTTGGCGATCCTGGCTTTGAGCTCAACGTTCTCAGCTTTGCGTTTGGTGCTCTCTTCTGTAACCTGTTTTAAAAGCTCGGCATTCTTGGCTTCAAGCTCAGCCTTTTCAGCTTCAAGCTCAGAAATTCGTTGTCTTAATGAATCAATCTCAGATTGCACGTTTTAGTAATAGATTTTATATATTTATTATTTATTTAAAATGTCAACAAAAATTTTGGCGACAGCCCGTCATCAAAAATTTCCCAAAAAACCATTAATCAAATATGTTTATTACGAGGTATCAAAATTAAATTACAAAAAAATCTAACCGTGACGTGCGAATTTGCATAGTAAAAAAAATCAAAATCAGAAAAACACGTATCCAATGTTTTTATTTTAACACATCAAACGTTAACCTTAATTAGCATAAATACAATTTTTATACCACGCCACATCATAATGATGCAATAATCTGTATTTTAATAAAATTTTCGAATTGCATCAAAATTCGAGATGATTTTTGGTACTACACAATAGAATCAAGAGACCACGGTATATCTATTTCATCCGTTGGAGACTTTTGACCTATCAATTCTCTGTAGAATTCATATGCTTCTTGAGGAGTGAGCACTATCTTCATAGTATCTGTGATCGTTTTCTATTTGTAAACAAAGGCAATGAACAATGGTGCATTTTACTATTAAAACTTAAACCATAATGAGAATAAAACATACCTTCACTTTCCAAACACTAGTCAATACCTAATAAGGTTTTTTATTTCTTCAACTGTGTCTGGCACCTCAAGAAGTTTATCCCGTTTTAGTATTGCTACATATCCTTTAGGGCTACTCATTTGTAAAATTTGCGATTTAAGACCTATAATTCAAAGAATCTCAGTATGTTTCAAATATATATTGAATTCATTGAGTTTTTCATTTTTCCTACCCAAGTGAAGTATGCCCGGGATATGTAACTTCCTTATCATGGTTTCCTGATTATCAACCTTTCTGCATAAACATACAAAAATATCATGCATGCCTTTGCTGAGTTTAAATCCATCGGCCAGCAATTTGGTTTGGTCATATTTTTTGGCTACTTCGATTGCTCCGTACTCAATATTATTTATATAGGTTCGAAATATTCCATCCATCTTATACCCCATCTTCTTACGTGGAACCTTCTTGTAACGTTTGTGCGCTCTCTTTCGATTTTTTCTTACAGACACTGCTTCACTCGATGATTCTTTTCTATGAAAAAAGTTAGTTAAGTAATTTATATAATTATGAGGGTTACAAAGCTATATATATAAATACCTTACTATTTCCATTCCAAATATATCGGAAAGACCGTGATCAACAATATGCGACCACACATTGATATCATACCAAGACTCGAGATGTAACCTTTTTAATGGTTCATTAGGATCTTCGTAATACGTAGACTTTTGTAATAGATAAATACAAGTATGTGTATGAATATCATTAAAACATCACAATAATCTCTCCAACAGAAAGTAGATGCTTACAATTTTCTCATTACAATATCTGCCCATTCAGCATCGAAATGATTCTCTCGACTGTAAGAATCTACTTTTCTTAAAAAAGATGTTGTTGCCAAGACCTGCCTTAATTCACGCGTTGTTTTGACCTAGGATTGAAATTATTATCATCAGAAGTATAAACAAATCAAAAATCGTTATACCATTTTTAACTTACATCAGCAAATCGCATCATAGACTTTACGAACGTTTCATCCACTTCGGGTAATTGAACTTCGTGTCGTATTTCATTCCACTCCTCTGTGGTAAATAGTTCTTCCGCCTCTTGGTCATCAAGATCAATAATCCATGAATGTAAGAGTGATTCATTTGGCAGTTCCTTACAGTGTTCGAAAAGAGTATCTTCAACACACTTTCCAGATGTGAGAATCCATTTATGATCTTCATTCATATTTGTGAAGTATTTATGAAAATCTTTGAGCTGTGATGGCATTAACGGTGGTGGAGGATTCTGATCTTCAAAATCGCTTATATTACAAAAGGAAGTAAAGCTTTGAGCCTAAGAAAAAAAATTCAAAGAAATTTCAATCGAAGAATTAAATACCTTGGTGTGTATTCTGAATCATCATTGTCATCGATTACAGAGAAGGAATCCTGCGATTCCAGAAAAAAAACCATACTAATTAGGTATTGATGATAACTAAACAATTCACTTTCTTTATTGTAAATACTACCTTATCTTTTTCATCGGCTGTTTCATTTAGTTCACTTATGGCAGGACTTTCAGAGGATCCATATATTTCTGGTGATGGTTCCTTCTGAATGATATATTAAATAAATTTATGAAAATTTGCAAAATATAAAATATAAAAGAACCCAATTATTTATTAAAAAAGAAGGCAAACTTTGAGACATTACTATTTCATTTTCCAAAATCCGGGACCGTCTTTTTCCAATAATATCAGAATGAATGGTCGCTTCTTCAGATTTTTTGACGACATATTTGAACTAATGGAAACGTGTTAATTCACATAATCCAATAACCAATGCATTAAGTATGTGAAAACTCACGTCAGAAATTGCAATTTGCAATCGGGTCTCCTTCATTACAGTTTCTAAAGTTTCGTGTTCTTTCCAAAATTCCTGTACCACCTTTGATTTTTTGTCGTTCTTAAAAAAAAATTAAAAATTAAAGCAGTTAGTTTCGTCGTTCTTAAAAAATTAAAAATTAGAGCAGTTGGTTGTTACGCTTGTGCACAATGGCAGACTGGACAAAACGCAGGGATTAACTATTGGACAGGCTTAGGGACCATCCAAATGTGTCCAGCAATAGACCGAGGCATCCTGCCAGGAGCTTTATGTGAGCTCATGGCCTGACAATGGCACTGTATTAGCAACAGAGATTCTTGAAAATGTTGACCAAACTGGACAAAACGCAGGGATTAACTATTGGACTGGCTCAGGGACCATCCAAATGTGTCCAGCAATAGACTGAGGCATCCTACCCAGACCCGTAACGATCGAGGCTCGTTCAACAGATCTCAAGAATTCTAGTATTAAACGATTTTACCTTAAACGTGAGTACCAATTCTTTAGCCCTTTGTGACGCAGAATCTTTGACATTCTTAGCGATGTCCTCAAGAAACTTTTTCCACGCGCTATGTTCGATTGACGCGACTGAGAAATCAGGAAATTGTGCCCTCCATTTCAGGAAACCGATAAGGGACCACTGTGACGGATCAGTCTTTTTAAAGTATATTTCTCTTTGCTGGATATTCATGCGCGAAACGATTTATTGAGTTTGAAAAAAAAATATAAAAATATATCAAAGCCATGATTCCACAAATTATGCGTATGGCAGATCCTGTATATGACTCGTGACAATCAAGTAATTTACGCGATCCGTGGTTTAATACATTATATATACTATGTTATTACAAATATGCTCGTGATAACCAAAATTTTAGCGACGGCCCGTCGTCAAAATCACTTAATAAAAGCCACACATCTGTAAAATTTTTAATGTGATTGAAGTTTGCGTATCCCATTTTCATTTACATAATATATCGGAATAAATACACATTTGTTATAATAAAAAATATATAAGGCATGTAGGTGCCTGTTACATAATAGGTATAAATGCATACGCCACGAGTAAGTTAATTAAATTTGGTAATCGGTGTATCGCATGACCAAATGATGCATGCAGGTTCTATTACATTCGAATTCATTTCTATGACACATATCACATGATTTTAGATATTATAGATATTAGCTCTGCTATATAAATACTAATACTCGAACTCGAGATTACCTGTCTCCAAAATAATATATTCAGAATGATTCGTTATCATCATCTATTCCTTGCAAAATACAACATTCTTGAAGAAATGGTTTCAAAATTTAATCACACTAAAATTGAATTAAATATTCATAATGTATAAAGTTATTAAATCTAATAGGTCTAAATCTCCTAAATAAGATATAAATTATATAGAACTTTCATAAACACTACAAATAAGTCATATAAAATGGTTAGCTTAAGTGAATTATGTAGAACTAATTGTACTGATGCTGAATGGTATGAATATTGTAAAATGTCACAAGTTCATGATAATGAAACGTCCAGTGAGTGAATGGATCGAATTTGGCCTCACTTATAATATTTCAGAAAGAATGATCTTTTACCTACTGAAAGCAAAAAATATCTTGAAGCTAGGAAATTGATACTAGTCCCTACTCTAGGTATATATGCTCTTGAAATCGGATTAGCAATTTGCTTCTCTTGTGACCAGTTAATATATACTGGAGAACAGACTACAAATATAGGTAATTATAATCATATAGGAATGGAGAGACATTGGAAATTTTCATGTTCCGGTAATAAATACTGTGGTGTAAATCACGATGAATATTTGAAAATCAAGCAAAAATCCAATTCTACATATAATTTTGATGATATTTATGCATTACATCGATATAAATTGTGGATGCAAAATGCTATCAGAAAAATCGAACGTGCAAGAGAAATTGATAAAAAGATTCGAGCTGCAAAGGTCATACAACAGAAATGGTTAGAACTCTTCTACAAACCGGAAGACATGTGTACTACTCAATTAGCTTAACATTATCAATTATTATGGGCAGTTCGAGAAGAAATGTGACAAATTAACAATGTATAATCCATTTATCTATTTATTCGATTTATTAATGTATAACTTATTCATATATCTATTTTAAAATAAAATCATCTTACTTTAGACTTTTATTATTACTATTTCGTGATGATTAATAGTTATTTTTTTCTCGATATATATTTCATAATTTTCATAAAAGATCCATTAATAAGTATAGTCATAATCTCTCGATGTTTGTAGTGTATCACAACATTTCTCACAGACCATCCAAGGATATTCAAGATTCATAGATGCTGATTGATTATAGTTCTTTTTTCCATGGGCAGTAATCCGATAATTTGGATACTGTTTCATCAAATCTCCTATACTCACATTCTCATTCTTTGTCAAGTATTGTTTTATGAATACCATCCATCATAATTTTTATTGTATTTTTATCATATGCATTAGAAGGCTCCAGTTCAAGAGTAATAATATCTGATTTCTTAAACTTATGTCTACCACGAAATCTCATCCCCACTACCATAAAGGAATGTGTAACAAGCCCGGGGTGCCTCTTTGAGACATGCAATCTGTATACAATGGCAACAATATTTCTTTACAACTGCAACAAATACTAGTCATAATTAAAAACTATTATATTTTCTGTATACGAATAATATCCAAGTTCAAATAGATAATCCTATTATTCGATCTACATATCCTGCAACTGTTTACTTTTTTTACCGCTACCCCATTCACGTCTAAATACCACAAACTATATAACACCAATAATCAAGATAAGTAACATATATGTCGATAGCGATGATATCAAAGTACTTGCCACAATAGGTATTGCTTCTATTCCTCCTACTGAAATCTGAGGATCTGAATTTATATGTGTGTCTAACATAATATCTTTACTAGTTTCGCTATTATTAGTTTCAGATGTGTTAGCATCCTCATTCTGTGAGTCACTTAACTTGGGTATAGGGATAATTCTGTCATCATCATTGATTTTTTCGATATCTTCTATATTTTTTCTGCGTACAAGATATGGTCTGAGACTATTGCTAGATTCACTAATTATAGATATATGTGTTTTAGCACTAACTCTGTTATTAGATGCGAAAACATTCTCACTCTGTAAGTCAGACTTGACTATATTTTTTTCGTCATTTCCACCAACTATTGTGGAACAGGTCAAAGAGTCTACAGGTTTTGATATAGCCTCCGATTTCAGGTGATCGAGTTCACTTCTCGTATGCTCCAATTCAACTTCTATTTGTTTAAAGTCATCCATTTTAGATTTAAGGGATAGATTCTCAATTTCTGTTTTCGATAAGTTTTCCTGAATCGAAAATGTATCCTTCTGAGCTGACTGGAGTGATTTTATTTTTTTCAAATGAATGATATCCTTGACTTCATATTTAACATTGGAAATCTGTAATTGGTTATTTTGAAATGTTAAAGTATCTATCTCCGAACTCAATCGCTTAATTTCATCTATGAGTTAATAAACATACTTGGTAAGTTCTTTTTTATCTTTACTGGTTTAATTTAGATCATGTTGCAAATGCGCTTTATCCTGTTTGTTATTTTTAATAAACTTTTTATACATCTTCTGATAGTTTTTAAAATTATCAATAAGTTCAGAATTGGACATACAGCTATCACGTAAAACTTCTTCGAGCTCTATCTCCCTAGTACTTTCAAGACGATATCCTTTTGAGTTAATATCTCGCAATGTGTGCATGTTAGCCATATATGTATAACAAAAATATAATAAAATTTGTAATAATTGTGTATAAATAATCTAAAACTAATATATCCAATGAAATACCTATTTTGGAGAAATAACACTCTCTGACCGTATCAATTTTGCTATTGTATCAATACATGTATCAATAAGAATCAATAGGTATCAATAGGTATTAATTATCAGATATCAACAGGTATCAATAGTATACGTGTTGCCCAAATCCCAAATCATTTGGGATTTGGGATGTCAAAATCTCAAATTACTAGTATTTGGGATTTGGGATTTGGGATTTCGGCAAAAAATACTAATCATAATTTGGAATTTGGGATTT